TCACCAAAAGTCTTCTCTCTTCTGCAATGGTTCCATCTTGTCAACATCTTTTTTTAAAATAATATTTTATTTCCCCCAATTGTACGTAAAGACAATTTCCAGCATTCATTTTTACAAGATTGAGTTCCAAATTTTTCTCCCTCCGTCCCCTCCCCTCTTCCTAAAATAGTAACCAATTTGATATAGGTTTTATATATATATATATGCAATCATCTGAAACATATTTCCATAGTACTCACAACTGTGAAAGAAACAGAACAAAATGAAAAAAAAAGAAGAAAAAAATAAAGTGAAAAAAGTATGCTTCCATCTGCATTCAGAGTTCATCAGTTCTTTATCTGGACATAAACAGCATTTTCCATCATGAGTCCTTTGCAATACTCTTGGATCATTGTGTTGCTGAGAAGAGCTAAGTCATTAATAGTTGATCATCACACAATGTTGCTGTTACTGGGTACAATGTTTTCCTGGTTCTGCTCATTTCACTTTGCAGCCATTCCCACAAGTGTTTCCAGGTTTTCCTGAAATCTGCCTGCTCATCATTTCTTATTGCACAATAGTATTCCATTACATTCATATACCACAACTTGTTTTACCCATTCCTCAATTGATGGGCATCCTCTCAATTTTCATTATTTTGCCCTTATGAAAAGAACTGCTATAAATATTGTTGCACATGTAGGTCCTTTCCCTCTTTTTTTATGATCTCTTTCGGATACAGACCTAGTAGTGGTATTGCTAGATCAAAGGGCATGCACAATTTGGTTGACCTTCTGGCATGGTTGTTCTCCAGAATGGTTGGATCAGTTCACAACTCCATCAACAATGCATTTGTGTCCCAATTTTCCCACATGCACTCCAACATTTATTTTCCTTTTTTGTCCTATTAGTCAATCTCATAGGTATGAGGTGGTAGGTACTTCAGAGTTGTTTTAATTTGCATTTCTCTAATCAAAAGTGATTTAGAGCACTCCTTCATATGACTATCGATAGCTTTGATTTCTTCATGTGAAAACTGCCTGTTCATATTCTTTGACCATTTATCAATTGGGGAATGGCTTGGATTCTTATAAATTTGACTGAGTTCTCTACATATTTGAGAAATGAGGCCTTTATTCAGAGACACTTGCTGTAAAGATTGTTTCCCAACTTTCTGCTTTCCTTCTAATCTTGGTTTTATTAATTTTGTTTGTGCAAAAGCTTTTAAATTTAATAAATCAAAATTATCTATTTTACATTTCATAATGTTCTCTATCTCATGTTTGGTCAAGAATTCTACCCTTTTCCATAGATCTGACAGGTAGACTATTCCTTGCTCTTTTTATTTACTTATGGTATCATCCTTTATGTCTAAATCATGTGCCCATTTTTGTCAATATACTTTTAAAAATATGAAACCCCAAATTGAAGCCAATGCTCTCTATCAGAGTCAGAATGGACAATTTTGGCAGTCAGAGCAAAAGCTCAGGGAAGGCAGTACAAAAGAGTTGACTGGGGGAGAAGTAGACACCTCCTGCATAGACCCTGGGACACAGCAAGAGATAGCTTCCCATTTTGACTAATTGTTTTCACAAAATGCTTAGCGCTCAATAGTTTCAGAGTTGCAGAAATTGGCCAGCAGTGTCTTTTGTCTTCCACACTTCAGTACCTAGGAGCAAAGTGGAATAAACTTCCTTTTGTTTACACTTTCCCTCTTATGGAATGCAAACTCCTGAAGGGCAAAGACTTTTCTTTCTATACCTAGAGCCAGGAACTAGGCTCAACACAGAGCAGGCACTTAATAATGCTTTTTGCAGGGTTTTTTTTTTTTTTAATTTTGTTTTGTTTTGAGTGTGGCAGATTCCCGAAGACCTATTACTTCCTTTGTTCTAGATTCCAGATCCCTCTAAGTGGTGCCTTAGGTTGCCTTTGCTTTTCCCAAGATCCAGGATAGCGCAGGGTCCGAAGTCAGAATGACTCATCTTCCTGAATTCAAATCCAGCTTCAGACACTAAATGTGTGACCTTGGACAAGGCACTTAACCCTCTTTGCCTTGGTTTTCCCATCTGTAAAATGACCTGGAGAAGGAAATGGCAAACCACTCCAGTATCTTTGCCAGGGAAACCCCAAATGGGGTCACTTAGAGTCAGACACGACTGAAAGCAACAAAACAAAAATTATTGACTGAATGAGGTAACAAAAGATTCTCCCCAGAATCAATCTAAAGTTGTGGACAATCAGAATATTTTTTGTTTTGCTTTGTTTTTAAAGAAAAAAAGAAATATAGGACCCTCTGGAATGAAGGGGCTTCAAATCAAGATTGTTTTTAGACCATAACACCGAATATTAAGTAGGAGGGGATCACAGTTCACCAGCCTCTTCTGCTATTTGCAGCTAGTTTCCTATGGATATTTTCTTTTCTGTACATTCTGAAGGCAGAAAAGTAATCAAACCTTTTTGATCCTAAAAGTGAGCTTGTACAACAGAAGATAAGACTGCACCATATTTCTGGCTAGTTTTGAACTAGGGACCTTTCACATTATCAGATGAAAGTCACAATCACTTCACTACTCTCGGCCACTTTGTTTCTTAGGTGAATAACTTGGAGGAAGACAGCCCCAGTTCTTTCAGTAGTGTGAGGAATTCCTTCTGCTCTGAGCAAGTGTGCTCCCTGGTGCTGGGTCCTATCTTTTTATTGAAATATCCCACCATTCCTACTCTCAATCTTTCTGAACTCCTTGGAATGTAGTATGAATCAAGTCTTTTCAGTCCAGCCTGTCCTTTTGTACTCTTTTCTCTTCCCACCTCGATTAGTGCCAGTAGCTAATCTGGAAGTCAGGAACACTCACTCCTGAAATTACAAGCAGAGATCTTCTGGGAACCTCAGCCTCAGCCTTGGGAATTGTTGTTTCTCTCCACTTATAAGGCAAGCCACAGTTTGCATCCTACTCTAAGGCTCTGGATCTGCTGTCTTTCCCTGGCAAGCCCATTGGCTCTGATGTCCAGAGCCATTACATCACTTGCTCAAGGTCACACATGAAGCTGATGGGGTACGGCCCAAGCTGAGACCTTTGCCCCTTAGGCCAAAAAGAATCTGGGTCCCATTTGTCTATGGGATTCTCCTTGAGCTCTCCCACTTGATCAAGGAGGTCTCTGGCATTCCTTTGAGGCTATAATCCTATTAACTGGCCTTTCATTGGCCTATGCCCAATCTCCCAATTCTGTTACCCTTAACCTAGCCCAGCCCTCTATTGTCTATTACCTCTCGATGCCCCCCCCACCACCACTTCCCACCTTCAATCCTATCTAAACCCCATTCTCGACCTCCCAGTCACTCCCATCAAGATAGGTCCTAGATCCCTCCCACAGTCTTTCGGTATATAAGGTCCATCCTGCCGTCATTAATGTACTCAGATTCCTTAAGAACCTAGCCAATAGCTCACAAATGTTCAGATTCCTTAAGAGTCTGGCCAATATGGCAGATCTTTAATAAACCTGGTCTCTGGCTGAAAGAAGGCTTGGGTCGAATTCTTCCAGGCAGGACCGAATCTCTTGGTCTTGATATTTTGGGGTCTCAGCACCCTAAACCTCAGCAAACCAAGTGGCAGAGCCTCTGCGTCCACTGCTCTTCCCACTGCACATTAATGCAGTGGGGTTTATAACATTATTTTTCTTTCACACAATAGAGGGTTGGGTTGTTTTGACTGGGCAAAGCATCAAGGCTTATCACCAGGCTGGTTCTAGAGTAAAGACTTTTTCAGCCACAGTAAATCACAGTAAATAGAAGGATTGTAATTTGCTTCTGCAAATGGAGTACACAGGTAGACAAAGCCTTAATGCCTTAAACAAATGAAGTAAAGCTTCTTTGAGCTAGGTAGTCATGAGGGAATGTTTCAGTTGAGGAACTGGAAAATCATTGGGGATTCCTAATACTCCTGAATCCTACCCATTATGCTTCACTTTATTAGTGGAAACAAGGGATTGAATTTCAGACACCAAAGATTCAAACAGTAGCAGCTGCACTCCCAGAAACTACTTCCTGCTGTCTCTTGACCTTTCTTTGACTGTGTCCAGCTAGACTACAGAGTGTCTCTACTCTCTGATTCAATATGCTCTACACTCTCAGAATGGCTTCCTACTAGATGTACTGGTTTCTATCAACAGATGGGAAGCCATGCAATAGGAAAAAGAGAGGAGAGACTTTCATGAGGGTAGATATTCTCTTTTTGCTTTTATTTCTTATTGCTTACCACACTGCTTTGGCTTAGAAATCTGGTGAAAGTTGCATCACGGAGTTTGAGAGTTCCCAAGGAGAACTGATTTCTTCAATGCCTGCTCCAATTTGTACCAGTGTGTGAAGTATATCCAGAATGCATTTAGGACTTTTATTCCACATTCATTTAATTCCCCCTCAACCCTTTAAGGTTAGCATGCTACAATCTTTTGTCTGGTAGTGATCATCCAATATTAAGGATGAATATTCAGAACAGGATGGGAGGAAAAAAACAGTAGGTTCTGGTCAGTTCAGTTCAGTGGAAATACCACAGGTCATGCTAAGTGCTTTTGACTGCAAGAGCAAAGAACAACCATTCCTTGCCTGAACACTGGAGAGGAGCAGTTAGACATGGCTGTTCTCTGAGGGGGGTAGTCTCACTTAACCAAGTTCTTTTTGCATTCTAGTGGCCATACCTCCGTTGGAAGGGCAGCAGCAATCAAATGCTCTCATAATATCTCTGAAGGAACCAAAAAAAAATATCTCTGAAGGAGAGTACTAGGAGAGCAACATGACAAGGTACCAACATCTTCCCTTGTTCCCTTCAGAGATAGGAGGAGGTGCCCCAGTACTCAATCTCTACTTCCAAATCTCTTGTCATCCTTCTTTATGGTACTCATAAAAACAAACGTGTATTAACAGTAAGTACAACAGAGATGGCACTATACCAAGTATCATTTAATGGAAGATACTTAAGTGATATCAAGTCTAGTTATATAGGACATAGGAAAGGCAAATCTCAGGAGTACATGCATATTCATAGTTCACAAGAAATAATCATAACCAGCAAAGCAAACTAGATATAACAATATAAATACGCTTATAAAAATAGAATAATTATAGTCATTAGTGTATAAGCAAATAAGCAATGAGGAAAGCAATAACAAACATTGTTAGAATGTAAACATAAATCCATAAGTAAACATGACAGCAAAATGAAATAAAAATTACTCAAACATGCAAAGCACATTTCACATGAGCAATCTCTAGCACTATGGCTTGGATACATAACAATTTCTTCAGATTCACCTGTAATATAAGTTGATCCAGTGACTGATTTGATGGAAAGAATAGCCTCAGCTTTATACACATATCAAGCTTCATTTCTGAACTTAATTATAACATTTAGCTTCTTTGTAGACCAACCTTCTTGGCTTAGTATTGGTCGCAGATTTTTTAGAAGTTCTTCTTCCTCAGAGTCTGGACTGTGGCTGCAGGTACTACTTACTACTGCCAATTGCTCCAGTGACTCAGGCAATACCAAGAAAACTTCCTGAATTTTCTTACTTGTTTTTATGTTTGTAGCCTTGACTGTACAATATTCAAACCTCTTTGTATCCTGTGCAGTGTCCTTAAAATATTTTTATCCTTATATTCTGAATCTATGTCTAGCATTAGACAACCGCTATGATTTTCCACACCAAACACACCACCACGGTACATTCAACTGCTTTAAGGCCCATCTTTTAGAAGACTGCTCCACGTATGACAAATTTAATACTCATATTCATTCAAGCAACAAAATTAAACACTATTACAGCAAGCAAAACCCTATACAATTTAATATACTATGCAAGAAATATCAAAAGGCATGAACTCAAATTCATGGAAGATTATCAACTTTTTCAAATACTAACACATATCATATAATTATACACATAACAGGCCTTCAGGACTTGCTTATAAACACACAGCACATCATAACATTTAGCAACAGACATACTGAACAAAAATGTTTTCATTTCAGCAGTAGGTAAAGTACAAGAGATGAAGTTAGTCTGAAAAGACCTACAGAAACATCTAGTTACATAAAAACAATAAAACCGAAAATGACAGAAGTTTTCCTGGAATATTCCCTGGAAAAACAATTTTAATATATAACCAGGAGATGAAACAAAGTTATTTGTGCCTAAAAAAAGAAAGAAAAGAAAAATCAGGAAAAAGATTGCTCATTGTAAGTACAGAAAAGCAAATAAAAGTGATTTAGATATGGAGAGTGAATTTCTGAGGCAAAATAACCAAAGCACAACACATAAAATCAAGAAATAAGCAACAAACCAATGATTACCAAATCATTCTCTTGGGAGAAAACAGTTAAAATTATCCCAATGTATCATCACCAGAGCAATCCTATCTCCCAGAAAAAAAAGAAGAGCTTGATGCAGTGGCCAGTTCAAATTCGAAGTCACCACTAAAATTCCAAGGCTAAAAAAATAAAATTAGAAAAAGAGAAAAGTGGAAAAAATTAATTACCAGGACCAACTCCCTTACCTAAAGATTACAAAGCCTCCCTCCTCCACCCCTTTAGCATTGTTTAGGGAGCTTGGGGGCTTCCCTACACTTAATACTTGTTACTAATATGTAATAAGTGAGAGAGGAAAAGAAAAGGGCAGTCCTTGCCATCTCTGGCCACGGGAGTTGCCACAGCTAGCACTAGGGCACTGAACACAGGAGCAAAGAAAAGCTTTCCCTGCTTGCACACCTTGGGGGAGGGGTGGGGCAAATCATGTCATCATGCATTTATTAAGCACCTAATATGTGCAAGACACTGTGCTAAGAGAAGGGGATATAAAGAAATTTTTTTAAAAAGTCCCTTCACAGCAATGCAAGAATCTAAGACAACTCCAAAAGAAACACGATGGAAATTGCTATCCACATCCAGGGAAAGAACTATGGAGTCTGAATGCAGATGGAAGCACAATATTTGCTCTTCTTTTCCTTTGTTATTTTGCTTTATTGCTTCATTCTGGTGGTTCCTCCCATTAGTTTTAATTGTTCTTTACATCATGACTAATGGGAAAATATGCTTAATATGAATGTATAAGTAGAGCCTATATCAGATTGCACGCCTCTTGGGTGGTGGGGGAGGGAAGAGGAGTGGGAGGAGGAGAAAATTTAAAATTTAAAATCTTATGGAAGTAAATGCTGAAAACGAAAAATAAATTAATTATCAAGGAGGAAAAACAGTCCCTACACTAAAGGAAATCAAAGTCTAATGGGGGAGACAACATACTAACAATTTCGTATCCAAAAAATAACATAAACAGGATAATTTGAGATAATCTTAAAGGGAAGTCATTAGGATTAAGGAGAACTGGGAAAGGCTAGCAGGTAGGACTTCAGTTGAGACTTGAAGAAAGCCAGGCAAGAAGAGAAAAGATCAGGGAGAGTTCCAAGGAATGAGGGACAGTCATTGAAAATTCCCGAAGTGGGAAGATAAGAGTGTGTTCTTCTCAGGAAGCCAAAGTCACTGTATCACAAGGTCCGGGTTGGGTGCATTCGGGGGAGGGATGGGAAAGTATAATTAGACTAGAAATACAGGAGGGGGCTAAGGCAGCGAGTGTGCTGGTAAATACTTAACATTCGATTCCCAGAAGAAAAAAAAAAACTTCCCGGGTACATGCTTTTAAGTTTAAGCTGTATTAACATTTTCTCAATCACGTTTTTAAATCTAGAGTGACAATCAACAAAACAATAAATCAAGCCCCCATTGGCAACATCTGCCCATTTCTGAGGTGTAGACGCTTATAATGATACTTTTAACAATCTGTTCGAGCTGGTTCCAGCACAGCCGGCTTCCTCCAGGCCTGGGGATGGGGAGGCTGTGGAAGAGGAAGAGGAAGAGGAAGGGACGGGGGGAGGGGAGGGCTAGGGGGGTAAGGAAGGGATGGGGGAGGGGAGGGGTGGGGGGGTAGGGAAGGGATGGGGAGGGGAGGGATGGGGGAGGGGAGGGAGGAGGAGGGGAGGGGGTCTTGAACCGTCTCTGATCAGCGCAGTCTCACCGAACCAGGTTCTTTCAGCAGCACCTCAGCAATGACAGCGCCAGGAGGCAAACAGGATGGAAGGTCTGGGAGATCAACATCTCCCCCGACTCTTTCCTCCCAGAGGCTGAGCGCCTGCAGCGAAATCGAATTTTGCGCCCCTTTGCTCCTGGCGAGCCCTCTTTCTCCCAGAAGTCCCCTAGAATCAATCCCAGGTTCCTTCACGCGCCGGCAACTTTCCGGGAGCCTCGGTTTCAAAACATCCGCCGCGATGCATTCTGGGCTTGAGGGGCTTCACAAGCCCCGTCCCCGTCGGTTTGGGGCGCGGGGAACCTGGGCCCTCGTCGGGACTCTCTCGAACCATTCTCAGTCAGTTTTGTGACGGAGGTCAGGCACCCTTCCTGTGCCTGCATGGAAAAAGTCACTAAAATGATTTTCGGGTCCAGGGTTTATGTCTCTGTTCACTCACGCCATGTCCTGGGAGGTAGCGGGGAACAGAAGGAGCCTGGCTCTGGTGTCAGACAATGCGTCCTGCCGTTGCATGACCTTACGCAAGTCACTGCACCCTCTGGGCCTCGATTGCCTCATCTGGAAAATGAGAGAGGCCTTTACACCCCTCAAATCAATGAACTTAAGGCATTTTGGCTCATCTAGGTTGGTGCGGTGGATGGTTGGACAGAGAGGCAGGAAAACCTGAATTCAGATTCAGCCTCAGACGCTTAAGCTGTGTGACTGTGGGCAAGTCACTTAAGCTCTGTTTGCCTCAGTTACCCCCTGTGGAAGTGGAGATAGTAATAACACCCACTTCCCAGTGTTGTGTGGGTAAAATGATATATTTGTAAAGGGCTTTGCAAATTTTAAAGCACTCTATAAATGCTATTTCTGGTCATTCTGAGACACTTCTTGAGGAAGCTTGGATCCCATGTCAGTTTTCCTGGAGTTCTTAATGGAGAATATATTGAAGTGGGGAAATATCTGAGGCAGGCAAATCCACCAGCAGGCTATTGCAATACTTCAGGAGTGAGGTGGTGAGATCCTGCCCCAGTGGTGGCAGTGACAGAGGAGAGAAGGCATGTATTTGAGAGATGCTGCAAAGATGTTTGGAAAGATGTTGCAAACAGTTGGACCTTGATGACAGATTCCTTAGCAGAAGTAAGAGATAGTGAGGAGTCAAGCATGACACCTAGGTGACCAGCTTGACAGACAGAGAGGGTGATGTTACATCCTCTACTTCTGCACATTAATAGCAAAGGTAACAAGAGGGAAGGCTTCAGAGAGAAAGACAATGAGTTCCATTTTACACATATTGATTTTAAGATGTCTATTGGACATCCAGTTGGAGATATTGAGATATTTGGTAAGTCATTAGAGATGTGAGATTGGAGGTCAGCAGAGTTATTAGGACAAGATAGGTGGATTTGAGAATCAGCCTCACAGAAATGGTAGTTAAATCCATGGGAGTTGATGAAGTATGTAGAGGGAGTAGAGAAAAGGACTCAGGATAGAAACCTGTGGGGCACAGGTTAGAGGGAGTGATTGGATGAGGATTCAGCAAAGGAAACTGATAAGGATCAATATGAGAGATAGGAAGAGAACCAGGAGAGAGTGGTGTCCTAAAAACCTAGAAAGAAATTTCAAGGAGGAGAGAGTGATCAACGGTATCAAAAACTGTAGAGTGGTTGAGGAGAATGAGGACTTTGAAAAGGCCATTAGATTGTGCAATTAAGAAATCATTGCAATTAAGAGAACTTTGGAGAGAGTGATTTCAGTGGAATGATAAGGTTGGAAGCTGGATTTGTAAGAGGTTAAGAGAGTGAGAGGAGAGAAAATGAAGGCACTTATTGTAGATGAACTGTTCAAGGAATTTGGCCACAAAAGGCAGAAGAGAAATAGGATGATGTTGGGGATGAAAGATAGAGTGAGGGTGTTTTGAGGACTGAAGAGACATGAGCATGTTTCTGTTCAGTAAGGAAGAAGCCAGTAGACAGGGAGAGATTGAAAATAAATTATAGAATGGGGGTGACAGGGAGTAATTTGTTGGAGGAGACAGGATAGAATGGGATCTCTTGAGCAAGTAGAGAGATTAGCCTTAGTAAGGAGTAAGTTTACCTGATCTATGTTAAGGTGGGGAGCCAGGTTTCAATAATAAGTGGAAGATAGAAAGGGTGGGAGAGGAAAAGACTTAGGATCAAGGGAACTTTGTTGCCTATGGAACAAGATTTCCAGAGGGCATTGTGGAAAGGGAGAATGGTATTTGGTTGGAATTTGGGGTAGGATTAGTGAGGGGATGGGAATAAAGCATTGTTTTATTAGCATGGATAAAAGTCATAGTTGATAGCCATATATTTTAATAGTGATAATACATAGCTTAAAGATATAATTAAGCATTAAGCAAAACCAAGAAGGCTGTGATAGCACTTGCAGCCAGGAAAGCTGGGATGAGGGGAGTGGCAGGAGGTGAGGGGAGCTGACTCTGCACAGATGAAAGAGACTGTCTATTGGACTCCAGAGTCCTTTCCTTACCTGATGACTTGTTCTCAGCTCTCTACTCCTCTACTCTTGTCCCTTTCTCACCTTTTCTTCAGAGGGTGAAACAAACAAGGAGAGGGGTTCTGGATCCAGTGATGATTTAGATTTGAGTGGCTAGCGTGACAAGAAATAGCCAAGATCACAGTTCACCAGTTAACTACCCACGTCATCTTTGTTGTAAGAAGCTGCTTATGAGAATATCAATGGCCTGGCCCCAAACTTTTCCACTTCAGTTCATTACTCATCAAAGCACAATTCTATTCATTGCAAATGTAAGGCACTGTTATTTAGCAATGGATGAGACACAAATAACTAAAACAACTAACAGTCATGGAGCTTATTTACTGAACACTTAAAATAAACTCATGGGAACATAAGATGTGCACACACTGATTCCTAAAAGTTAATGAGAAGTATTGTTTTTCCATTTGTCCTGAGCTGTGAAACCATGTAAGGGGCAATACGGTTGGGGTACAGTTGGGGATGAGTGTGGGAACATTCCAGATAGAAGAAAGAGTTCTGTGTTCTGATTTTGTGACTCACAATTGTTTGATCTAATTAAAGAGAAGACTATTGTCTGTGGAACTGAGACATACCACTTTATCTTCTTCCCTTCCTGCCAGTCCCAGGTGCCTGTAACTAGCCTCTTGCAGGTTTCCCTAGGTTGGAAGCATCCATCAACGAAGGACTCCTGTGTTGGTGGTGGCTGGCATCTGAAACAATTGGGACTCTTGGGTCTCAGATGCTTCCATGACGGCCTTTCCCAGAATATCTAGGATGATGAAGAAGTTGTGTAAATTTGTGGAAGTGCCTCAAAGGCATCTTTCTCAACCTCCTGCTGAATCACCTCAGCAGTTTCTTAATGAACCTATTTTTGTCTGATGAACCCAGCCCATTCCTCAGGGGTCAAACCCATCCAGTGGAAGTATTAGGAAGGAGCAGAGAAAGAAGAAAGACTAGGCCAGGTAGGTAGCTTTCTTGAGCACACAACCAATAGTACCCTTATAAAACACATTTTTTTTTTAGCAGAGAAACCTACTTATCCAAATCCATAGCAACACAGAAATCAGAGAAAGCATGCATAAGAGAATATATACTAGACAACAAAGAGTGAAGAAGCTTTCCCATTGGGAGCAAGGTAACAATTCAAACAAGAAAGATTCCCAGATCTTATCCAAAGGGAAATTGCCCAAAGTCTCTAGTACAGCAAATTGGGGATAGGGACATGATGGAAATTACCAGTGCCTCTCATGTCAGCTTCTTCCTAGAGTTTTTTTTTCCTTCTGTAACCTGGCATGAGGTTGGCATCGTCCATCTTCTACCTCAAAGCTGGACACCTGAAGAACCCAAGGGAGACTGAAGAGATTAGATCTCTTTCCCCTCTCTCTTACTCTCCCCTGCCTCTTTCACAGGCATGGGCGTTCATCTCCACCAGTGAGGAGAAAGTCCTATACCAGTGTACTTTGGGGCTCAAGTTATATTCCTTCTGTGTAGGAGGAATTTAGGCCATTGCAAAGATCACCTGGGACAAATCCAAAACCCATAATTAATCCAATATAAAACACAAACAACAGCTCTTTGAAACAATGGTGATTATCCTGGTGTCCCAGGTAATCAACTTTAGGCAACATTAAAAGTGAAATAAAACAAATGCAAGTATTTTTTAATGCTAGAAAATCTGTATCTTCAAGATGCAGATAGGTGTTTGTATTTTAAGGAGTCAAATGGAGTTTATTAAAGAGTTCCAGGTTTCCAGACGACATGGAGGAGTAGGATGGAGAGTAGCTATGAGGAAGCCAAAATCAAGAGGATGTCTGACTTATCTGGGATCATTCCCACCCAAAGCCGGGATCATATTCTTAGACCAAAAAGCCAAAGACTGCCCCACATTACTACCTCAATCCATTTATTTTGTCCACCTGGGGAAGGATCGTGTGATTGGACAAGTAACAGTCTCTCCTGATTAGGGATTAAAAATGCAGACTTAAAAAGGCTCACAAACCCCACAAAAGCCATACCATTACTTGTTCCCAGTTGACAGAGAAACCTTCTTCTCTACCTACTAGGATCCACTCAAGAGCATCTTCCCTAAAACTTTCCTGATCTAACAAAATGTGTCCTCTGCCTCCTGAAATGATACAGAATACTTTGAAGGTCTTCTTTGTCCCTATAAGTCCCTTGCTTGTATTCTGTTTATCATTTTATATCGCATAACCATCTGGCTTTCTAAGTAAGCTGAAAGCAGAAAATGAGTAACTGATTTTTAAATTTTGTTTCCGTCCGTTGGCCTTCAGAGTTATGGTTTGCCCCTAACAAGCCCTATTGATAAACAGTTGTACAATCACCCTAAGAAAAGCTGCCGCAAAAATCCTCTTCTTCAGAAAACGAGCCGGTCTTTGGATTTGAAAAGCATGTCACCAAAGTTGTTTCCGCCCGGTTTCGAACCGGGGACCTTTCGCGTGTTAGGCGAACGTGATAACCACTACACTACGGAAACAAGCAGTTGAGTAACGCTTCTCAAATGAAACTCTTGAAAAAGTTCAGTTAATTCAAATTAAACTTTCTCTTTAGTTTCCTTGTTCTATCCTTGGATTTCTGTTCTGAGGTTACTGTCATGGCTATACCTACCTGCTTACCCTACGTGCCCTTTACTTGTGGATCTCAAACCACTTTTCCTGGCAGCCAAACCCCAGACAGCAAAGGCCTCTGAGACCTACGCTCTA